ATATAGGCCTATGTAAAAATCTAGTAGAAAAAAAAGCAGCTTGACCAAAAAAACCCATGAAAACCTATAGATGATAGATTTAATTAATGATTACAGAATATTAATAAAATGGAATTTGAAATTTGATTTTATGTAAATTGCTAAAAATTATGGAGGAGGAAGATTTAAAATTATAATATAGAAATGTTATAGCGCCATCTATTGTAAGTGTTGATGTTTCAATCCCTTGTTGAGCAATAACATCACGATACATCTTGCAGATTAATGATTTATTAATTTTGTTAATTTATAATAATTACTATGATTGATAAATCGTAAACAGAAGCCGATGCAGGTGTGCGAAAATATTCATATTTTTCAGTTTTTATTTTATATTAGGCCTATCTAAAGTTACTGTCCCCTGCTCCTCTTCGAATCCTTGCAACTTTGAAAGCCTACATAGGCCTGCTTCATTACTACCATGAAATATAAAATTTGGTAAAATTAATAAACCTCAATCTGTACCATATGTAATTTCAACTTTCCCCACCATGCGTTAGTCCCTCTGTTAGAAGCCCTCTGAGTATTAAGAAGCCCTCTGAATTTAATTCGCGGTCTTCGCTTTTGTATACCGGTATTGACTGTGCCAATCAATCTTTTTTCGATTTTTACTACATGCCATAGGTGTTTACATTTTGCAACAATGGAAATACACATTTTTTTCAAAATTTCCATTCGATTCACAATACTAATGGTATTCACTATATGAGATATAAATATAAAGAAGTATAATTGCTTTGCAGTTGGGAAATTCGATTTTCGAAGTCAATTTGTGTAAAGATTTGGTTTCAATAATATTATTCTGCACCTTAGTTTAAGCTTATTCCACTTACATAACCCAAAAGGTTAAATCAACTTCCTGCAGTGACGTCATCTATTGATGAATTCTGTGCCATGTTGTTGTGAGTCTCAAACGGGTAGAGAATTTTGGATGGTCACTTTCCGGCGTAATATTTGTCGGCATGGACAACTTAAGAGAGCAAGTAATGGTAAATCAGTTTGTTGCAGCTGCAGGGTGTAATAGGGACCAAGCAAGACAATTATTACAAAGAGCTCATTGGCAGTTTGAGGTGAGTTTTTGTGTGTTGTTTGATGTCGTTCACGTTTGTTTATGTTTTGTCGGTCGGGTATACCCATAATGCTCTTTTGTCTGATTGTTTTGGTTCTAAAATGGATATAAACATACACTTTAAACGCCATTTATCCTATCATTTAAGTTATACTGATACTTTGATACTATGTAAAATGCATCTATAGGTACTTAGAAATATATTTCCTTTCGATTTCAGATGGCATTAAGTTTATTTTTCCAAGAATCACCGATTCAAAATCACCACAACATGAGGCAAGGTAGCCACGCAGCGGTGAGTGTAAACACAATCGTACGATGGTGATGCATGGCTGCCGCTATTCAATATTGCAATTTGAATGGCGGAAGTGCTTCTGTAGTCTTTTAGTTGGTATCTTTTCAATTGCATGAATTTAAACGAAATTTTCTTGTAAATAACTAAAAGAAAATGTGGATAATCCCAGGAATATGAGATTAGCTTAATAATATAACTAATTAGGCCTAACTTCCATACAAATTGAACATTGTTTAGGCTTATAATATATTACAAACAATGGCGTATTTCTTCAGTGTTTTGTGGCTTGTTATGTTTTTGGTAATAATGTTGCTTCTGGTTCTTCTCTTTACCTGACATGCTTTTATTTTTTATTTTATGTAATATGGCCTAATTAACATTTATTGATGTACTCTAAATGTAAAATAATTTGTTTCTTGAGTCTTGAATTGAATTAATAGAAAATAAAGAGGCTCGCTCTTGCACCAGGCACTTGTGTCCCTTCTTCCCAACTTTAGCATAGGTAACGTAAAGCCTATTTTTGTTCATTTAAACATTCATTACAGCAGTTTTTGTATTATTAAGTTGAATTATAGGCCTACTGAACAATCCATACTATTCAAAATGGAAAAATGTATGACTTTTTAATTATATTCTTTACATAATTATAGCAAATTTATAATAATAATAATAATAATAGTGTAGTTTTATATAGCGCACATATCCATCTAATGTAAGATGCTCAGGGCGCTTGTATTCCATCGTCGGAAATGCATGCATATTTTTTTGAGTACTTCCATGGAATTTAAAGTTCTCAAATAAGAAAAGCATATCAGAATGCCTATAGTATCACAGTTCTTAATTCAGTTTTGCAAATGTAGTATAAGAAATAAGTCCTCATGAAGGTAACACAAAAGGTAATTCCAAACTTGTAAAAAAAAAAAGCATTTTTTCAAAAGATAACGCAATAAATAGAGCCTGACCACACACTTCCTGAAACGGCCTGTTCCAATGTTATTTTAATTAGCTTATTTGAAACTCTTGATACTGTTTCATCTCCCTTAATACTCTCTAACAAATACAGTAATGTACATTTCCGTAGTGCAGGAAATAGAAATATCCAGGTTTTGGTAGCAAAAGAAAAAAACAGGGAGTAAACTGTCTGGTCTAGGGCGAGGAGTCACAGTATCTAGGACATGAACCAAACACATGTTGAAGCAGATGAATTCTCTGCTTTCCCCTTAGACAGCACCTACCCGACCTGAATTTTTCCCAGACAGTTACCATTGTCTGGGAAGATGTCAACTGACAAAACCGTCTGATAGTATATTGGGGTAAATTGGTCTTGTGTGTTACTGATGTGGTGCAACTTATGCTTACTGTACCTGTCTCTAGCCGGGGGATCAGTGTCTACTCTGATTCCTGTTTTAAGGTTTTTTACTGACTGTTTCAAATTAAAATCTTTATCTAATCTGATCTTATCTAGACCGGTATGATTCACACTCTCAAGGGTGAAAAGGTGAATATATGAAAAAAAATGGAACTTATTTTAAATAACATAAAAAACATGAAGCTTAGTTCAATGGTGGACAATGGTAACATCAAATGAGTTAGTGGTGCAGAACTGATTTCTTCATGTCCGATATTAATACATTTATTAAACAAATTGAGAAGACATGCGAACCTTCAAGAAACCCTTTTCTGATGGTTGTTGAGGGCTGGGTGAGGGTACAGTATGTTTTACATAAAGTTGATAAATGCAAGCACTTCTATTCGCTAGTATGAAGTTGCAGAGGGCACACATTTGTTTTAGTACTACGTTTTAGCAGGCATATCCTGAGCATAGCTACAGGCGTGACTCATTTTTTACGGAATGGACTATTCTCTCTCTATACTTTGATTGAACTCATTAATGTAATATGTTAGTTTCTTTTCGTCCATGCAATAATGAAAAAGCCAGTTATATTATTTATATTATTGCAAAGAACATGAGGTTTTGCAACATTTTTATACAAGCTTGAGAAACAAAGATGAAAGGAAATGTATATAATAATTTGGTAATCTAACCTCAGGTCGACAGCAATTTATAAGTTTTTAAAATTTATTCTATGAGGTTTATTAATATTAAACATGTGCATTTTGGAGTCATTAACCTTTTTTGTCAGATGCAATAAAACATGAAAAACTTCACAATTTTGAGAGTAAACAAAAGAAATATGCTGGTTATCTAAAAGTGATAATCTCTAGTGGAAGCGTCAATGATTACTATATTAATAGTAATAGTTCAGTTTGTTTTTAAATTGATATTTTTATATTTTTGTTGAACATTTGGTCTACCAATCGTTGTTACCATTTTTAGGCAGAATTTGTATTGTAATTTTCATTTAATTTATTTTGCCGAAAACAATTACAAAGGATAAAACAGTCGGAAGAACAATAACGATACAATAAATGTTGGTCTCTGATTTTCCACAAGGACCGGCTGGATAACCAAAAAGTAAAATAAATTACTATTAAACAAAGAGCAAACAGTAATCAAGGTACAACACAATGATTTAAAGTGTAAAATTTACGTTTTGGATTGGATTGCCATTTGTTTTTAGTGAAACGCCAAGTATTGGAATTAGTTAATTCTCTGTAATTTTATGTCATATCATGATAAGGCCCCATAAAAAAAATGATTAGTTTATCACCCTATCAAAGAATAAAAACTGATGAGGGAGGGAGGGTTTTGAATAAAAACTGAGGAGGGAGGGAGGGGTTTTTTTTTTTTTTTTTTTTNNNTTTTTTTTGCTAACCCCGCCCCCATTTTACCGATGATCACAAGTAAATCAATGGTTAGAGACACATATATAAAAAGGCATAAGAATGGAATCAAATTTATATTTTAAAAATATGTTTTTGTTGTACCAGTAAACATATTTGCAAGAAATCCTAAGCTTTTCAAGTGAAAAAAGATAGAGAAAAGACCGTTTAAAATAAAAATATACGTGTTGATTAAAAAATAAAAAAAAATCAGATTTTTCCCTAAAGTGATGAGGGAGTGGGTGATAATCTAAACTTTTTTTTATGGGGCCTAAACATTAATTAGTTATTACTGATGGGATCATTTATTGAGGATGATCAAATCTCAATCAAATAATAATTGTAAAACTTTAGCTTCTAAGAACAGTTTTCCTATTTAGCCAATGGTTTTTGCAAACATATCCAGACAAAAATAAAATTGTATTGTTGAATTTAAACAGTGTAGTAATGGGATGGTTAAATACTTTACATTTGTGTAATTAGGAAGAAATATACGTATCTTTTTAAGGCAGCGGCGGGTATAATAAAAATACAGAAAAACTTTCATTTTTTCCTGAAAATTCCATTTTTTCGTGAAAGCAGGTGCGCTAATTGGCCAAAAATAAAATTTAATTTTTATTGGAAATTGTTATTGGCAGGTTCACTAAAGAAGGTATAAAAAAGTCTCACCTTACCTTACTGTTTTCCGTAGCAAATGAGGCATGTTGAGGCAAAATGGCTAAGTTGTAGCAAAAATTGAAATTCAAGTTATTGGTATTTTCAGATACCAAAGTATGTGGTCTTTAAAATGAGGGGTCATTCATTCAAATTGGACATTTCAAGCCAAAGTTCTTGGAAAGTGAAAGTACAGTACTCTTAGAGTCAAGATAAACATGAATTTGAGTAATTGCCTTTCAAAGTTATTTGTGCATACATTGTTTAATAGAATAAACTACCGTATGAACAATAACATTAAATAAACAATTTGTTAACCATTTCGTCACAACATGCCTCATATTAGTATTATTCCTAAAAATTTGACGATCTCTTTAATTGATTTTCCCACAAAGAGCAAGATACAAAATCTGAAATTATATTAATATTTTAAAAAAGATTATATTTTTGTTATAAATTTTATTTTTATAATTTATTTTTATATTTTATCATTTTTGCAAACATTTTTAACAACATGATATTTTTTATTAATTCAAATTTCAAAGGAAATATAAATTGCAACCAAATTACAAAATTCTTGTTTGATTACTGTACATGTGCAACCATGTTTCTCATTGGTAACTAATGGCAACATAACTAGATTCAAATTGTCCAGCTTGCTGTCTACTGTACTGTATCAACTTCAATATGACTCTGAAACATGTCTGAGCTTTTTCTTCAAACATAATTTAACCTTTTCATTGTTGGGACCGTAAAGGCTCGAATAAGCGCCGCTCTAAAAAATGTGTTGCACCAACCCGATTTTTTTTTTTTGCTAAGCGCCAGTCTTGAATAAGGTGCATGGATCAATTTTGCAGTGGCATCTTTACGCACATAGTTCTTGCCCTGTTTGGATTGGTCAGTTAAGTTTAGTTGACACGCTGAAAAGGTCTATTGCAAATCAGTTTCTATCAAAGATCTTATAAACACAAGATGGCATTCTCCGCGATTTGCGCGTAACAAATAGAAGCATCAATTTAGCACAGAAAAGTAATCACTATTGGGAGAGTGCGTTCTAGTCGTTGGCATGGATCTGAGATAGGATGTTCGTGTTACGCCAAAGTTCCTTACCAAGTACGTTAATTGTTCCTTAATTGTTCTAAAGAGAGGGCGCATTATAAATTAGACGCTTTTAATTGTAACGCGTAAACGTAAAGTCGCGCGGCGTACGCTATGGTCAAAGCAGTCAAAGTTCAAAAGTTATCACTTTTGCAAGAGGCTGCCTTACACTTCGTTATTACAGAATTTGCACACAAATCGCGGAGAACGCCATCTTGTGATTATAAGATCTTTCGTTTCTATTTAAAACAATAATCCCGTTCACAAACGAAATAGACATAGCCCGTAGCGTGTGGGGTTAAGGGGGTTATGACGAACCGGCCAAAAACTGGAAAAAGTATTTAATAACGAAAAATTGATATTCGTAGATATATTTTACAATGTTCTCCAGAGTATCGGAGATCATACAAGTCCCAGAATTTTCAGATACGCCCTTGTGGAGCTCTATAAATAATAGTTTATTT